GCGACCGTCGACGGGGGGGGAAGCGCGGGTCCCCGGGGTGACGCGCGAAGAGGGAAGCTGCCACGCGCCTCGGGGCGCACGGCGGGCAGAAAACCGCCATGCGCCCCGAGCGCGTGGCGGGAAGAAAAAAGCGTCGCGCGCCACGGGGCGCGCGACAAACACGAAGGCAGCGGAAGCACGTGGGGCCCACAGGCCAGGACTTAGCAGTCTCTTATTCCATGTCAGAAGAATAGCGAGAGTAAGGAGCCATAGCTAGGGTTTACCTAGCTAGGCAAGCGAGAATTAGGCAAAGGAGGAGAGGAACTAGAAAGGAGGCGGATACAAATAGCAAGCCCACAAGAGTTATACTCACTAGTGAGTACCCCACTACAGACTAGACAAGCATTATATTCTGACAGGTACATTTGCAGGTGCGTGTGGTGGTGCTGGAGTATTCACCGTGGATTGCTGACGCGCGGAGTCACGTTCCGCCGTGAGCGTCGCAATTTCGAGCGCCGAATCTTCGACTTGGCGCACGAGACGGTCGAGTTGCTCCTGCGTCAGTGTCGCGAGAGTGAATTCGGCCATGGCGGGGGTGTCGGGCAAGCTCAGCGAGAGCCTCTGTCGTGGCCGTGCGTGCTTACGAGAGAGCACTACGAGCGGCGGTGCTTGTTCGCTGAGAGATGTCTACCCCCCCCCAAAAAATTGAGATAGTGGGGAAGCGAAGGTGTGGGTGCGGTCCGAGAGGAGATCGTAGGCTCTGAATACCAAGTGTTACGAGTGCAATTGAACGAGCGAGTGAGAATTGCACTATCGAAGCAATCAATACAGTTGAGCGAAAAGCATGAGCGAAGTTATATAGCGAAGCTAGCGTGGTAACGGTAATGCGGGAAATTGGGGTGCGCTACGGGCCTAGCGCCGAGGTTGGGAATTGTCGAGGCGGAGGTCCGGAGCGCGGGTTACCAACCGAACCGTGAGGTTGGGTCGCATCGTGAACAGTGGCGGGAGTCGTGGTCGAGGCGAATGTCGCGAGCGGGTAACGTTCACGGATGGGTGCCGATGGCGGGAACGGGCATGTACGCGGTAAGCAGGGACGCGAAGTAAGGAAAAGGAATTTTCCTTACACTCGTACACACCGACAGTTGTCTTATAATCAGGAACACCTATCTATAAGATACACCCGTTTTAAAGACACCCCCTGTCTTCAATTCGACACTGTCTTATATCCGGGCGATGACGGTCTGAGTTGTCAAACAGAGTTGCGCGGAAAACGAATAACGAAGCTTGTGACTAAATGAACTGACGATACAATGAAAGGCACGCGATTATATAGCGGGTCAACCTAGCTAGGCGGGAAACTCGGGAACACGACGTTGGGTGCAGGTTGGGCAAAGGAAAGCCGAAAGCGACGCGAGGTTGCTTCGGCAGCAAGTAAACCGGCCGAACGTGCACTTCCGAAAGTTGGGGTTGTACGCGGTTGAGTAAACCCCGGTAAGGAAAAGGAGATCTGCACTGGTTCTCCCACCCACCATCCCTGCCACCAACGCCACTCCTGCCATTCGTGCCACTCCTGCTTCTGCTGCTCCTGCTGTTGCTTCTGCTGCTGCTGCTGCTGCTGCTTCTGCTGCTGCTGCTGCTGCTGCTGCTTCTGCTGCTGCTGCTGCTTCTGCTGCTGCTGCTGCTTCTGCTTCTGCTGCTCCTGTTGCTGCTTCTGCTGCTACCGCCTTATCTTACCCCTCTCCTGCCTCTCCTCCTCCGTCTCTTCCCACACCACCATCCCCTCCTTTCGTACCTTCCGGTTCTCTCCCTTGGTCCAATACTCTTCCTCCCAATCTCCCCTCAACCCCTGGGTCTGCACTTCTCACAGGGCCGTTGGCTCTGAACGAGCAGATGCAGCTTTTGAATCGACTCAAAAGCAGACCCAAAAGCGGTCTCTCCCTCCTCTCTATGTCCGTCAATCCCTGGGTCTGCACTTCTCACAGGGCCGTTGGCGTTTGAACGAGCAGATACAGCTTTTGAGTAGACTCAAAAGCAGACCCAAAAGCAGACTCAAAAGCAGACCCAAAAGCGGTCTCTCCCACCTCTCTATGTCCGTCAATCCCTGGGTCTGCACTTCTCACAGGGCCGTTGGCGTTTGAACGAGCAGATACAGCTTTTGAGTAGACTCAAAAGCAGACCCAAAAGCAGACTCAAAAGCAGACTCAAAAGCGGTCTCTCCCTCCACCCAATGTTCCTTCAACTCCTGGGTTTGAGGGCCATTGGCTTCTATACAAGCAGATGCAGCCCATTTGCCCTCCCTCACTTGATGCACGCCTGATGTGGATCTTTTATCCCCTCTACAAGCATCCTCGCCAGATCTGCCACAAGCCGTGGTACCTATCGTCAGTTCACAATATAGGACATGCCTTGCTCCCCAATCTTCCTCTGCTTCCTCTTTCCTCTCCCCATCCTCCTCCTCCTCCTTCCGCTCTTCCTCTTCCTCCTCAAACCCCATCCTTCCTGCCTGGAGCAGTCATAGCAGCAGCTGCAGCAGTAGCAGAGGCAGCAGCAGTAGCAGCGGGAGGCACTGCAAGTAGTCTCTTGCCATCCTCTCCCCATCCCCATCCCCATCCCCATCCCGATCCCCAACCTCAATCTCAGTCCCCTCAGTCAAGATCCCATTCAATCTCCATACCTCCCCTTTCCCCAGCCCAAAACCATCACAATTTCCATTCCTCTGCGGCTACCACCACACCAGTCCTCCTCCTCTTCCTCCTCCTCCTCCACCAATCCATTCCCCTTTGTTTCCTCTTCCGTCTCCCTCACCTCATTCCCTTCGCGACTCATTCTCCCCATGGCTACAAGCACCTCACTGCACACCTCCAAACCCCGTTAATCCTCCCACCACCATTCTCATCCCTGTCTTCTCTCGCCCATGCTCTTCCACCACCGTACTTCACCTCACTGCAGCTCAACCCACTGCGCTCTTTTCCACCTCTGCTCCTCAAATAACAAGTCTGAGGGGAGAAGAGTGAACAGCTGAATTCATAGCACTGTCAGCAGCAGCAGCAAGAGCAGGAGCAGGAGGAGGAGGAGGATGGGGAGGAGGAGGAAGGAGCAGGAGGGAGAAGAGGGAAGAGAGGGACGGGAAGGATACGGTGAGGAGGGAGAGGAGAGAAGGGAGTGGTAGCGAAGAGGCGTCTTTGCTACGAGTCGCAAGGGAGCGGGAGAGGCGAAAAGGGCTGGCAGAGCTGTTTCCAGTGGAAGGAGAGGAGGGCATTCTCAAAACGATATCCCGTATAGGTAGAGCGGTGGAGTTGTTTGCAGTTGGGAAGCTGGAGGGGCTGATAGGTGCAGCCAAGGGAGTGAACGGTACAGAGAGCGATCAGGGAGAAAGAAGGGATGGAAGCAAGGAGAGTGGGGGAAGTGTAAGGAGCCAGGGGGGGCAAGGGGGAAAAGGCAGGCAAGAGAGACAAGGGAGTGGTGGAAGTGAGATGAAGGGAGGTATATGGGGAGGACAGGAGGAGGAGGAGTCTGTACAGGTGTTGGAATGGCCATTGCAAGTGCAGCTGTTGCAGCCGTTGCACGTGTTGATATGCCGGCCGTTCTATTTCATCCGGTGCACAACCTTGTGCTTCAGTGCCTGCTGTTGCTGACATTGGGTCGGTCGGTTGAGCTTTCTCTGAGGCAGTACATCCTGCTGACTGCCTTTTTCCGAAACTATTCATTGTTCAAGCCGGTTATCAATGCCATAAGGGGAATCAAACGACACACCTACTTTGATGGATGGGAGGTGGCAAGGTGATGGAAGAGCTATCTGAAATATTATTTCGGGGTCGTCTGGTACCAATGTTATTGTTCATGATGTAGATTCCAAAAAGTAAATCTCAAGAGCGTATGGTTGGGGGAAATGAAAGAAGTGATGTTGGTGTTGTACATGTTGAAATAACTCAAATAATAGATTGCACAGGATGCTCCCTGGTACTGTAGTAAGCCCCACAGCATCCACGGGCGATTGAAGGTCAATGAAGGTCAATCGCCTTGTACGGTACAGAACAAGACAAATTACTGTGGCCATGCAGGACTCCTCTTCCTTCACCCGACGTCGTTGATTTCGTTCGTAGATCGTTTGAATGGAAGCTCAGGGGAACGCGCAAAACTCGGACGGATGGCGAGGCGAGGCGACGACGGTGTGCAACACAAGCACGCAAAACTCTTGCCGTGCGGCACAAGGTACCCAACGCCCTTTGATTTGTCGCCCTCCTCCCCGAGTCCGACTTGTACCCGAGCCCCCAGCTCATGAATTCTGGCTGCCCAAAGATGCTCGGCTCATGAAACAACCCTGGCGTCCAGGCTACCCAGAAAACTCTTGCTTCGCGATTCGGAACGACGTCGGCCACAAATTCGACGACGTCGGCCACAAGTTCGTACAGTACACCGCCTCCCGTCCGCATTGTATACAACTCAACTCTGCTCCCTCCCTCCCACCCCACAGCCATTTCTCATCGGACCAGCTTCGTGTTCTTCAATCAACAAACGCGATAGAGGAGTGGAATTTTATTTGACGATTAGCACACCGTCCTCCCTCGCTCTCCCCACACATCATTTCCATTTCTTGAATTGCTACGAAACGAGAGTCGAGATATCCGCAACTGCTACTTTTGACTGAACCGAGCCCTTCGTGCATAGTATTCTCGTCACGCGACTCTGTCGTATCCCCCACACCCTCGTACGAATTCCACGAATTAGTCGCAGCGAAGTCCTGAAGTACCATCCTGCACTCAATTGTCGCGCTTCCCTTGTTCACTACTACTGACGCAATTCAGAATGCTGTATCGTACAAGCGAAAGCACCTTGCCTGACTCTGCTGACCTGAAGATATTCTTTGCACAAGCAATTCCCAACTCCTCCTCCTAGTCCACAAGACACAAGCAGTTCACATAGACGCAACCCCTTGCACGGAACGGTTCTCCCACCTACTAGTCGAATCCAGCCAGCTAACGAGCTCACCGACTGACCAGAGGGCCGAGCAACAAGCCGCCATGAACAATCTGTGGACCCAGACATGGGACGTCTCTCGAAGCTTCGCGCCTCCATCCAATCGGGGGGCTTCTGGAGGAGCAGGAGCATCAGCTGTCGCGCCGGCAGGCCCGGATTTCACGGCGTTTAACGCAGAGGTGGCGGCGATTGAGGAGGAGATCAAGAAGGCGAACAATGACGTCAGCGATGTGCGTAACGCCCACAAGCTGATGTCACAGGAGGCGCGCGCGGAGAGGCTCGAGGAGCTCAAGAAAGACGCGGCGCGGTCGTCGGCGAAGGCCAAGAATCGCACGAAGAAGATTAAGGAGATGCTGGAGGAGCTGAAGCTGAACAACGAGGCGAATCGCATGCGGCCCGGAAGCGGCCCGAGAACCGCGGAGGATCGCCACCGGACGAATATTACCGTTGGATTGGCGGAGCGCCTGCGCGAACTTCACCAGCTGGTGTTGGTGGTCGAAGGGGAGATTAAGAACGAGAGCCGGAAGAAATTACAGCGACATTTGTTCATGGTGACGGGGAAACCGGCGACCGACGAGATGCTGGATGAGATTCTCGAGCACGGGCAGAGCGAGGATGTGTTGAAAAAGGCGGTGCAAATGCAAGGCCGCGACGCGAATATTAACGAAGACCAGCTGCGAGACGCCGTCGTGGATATTGACGCGAAGATGGACGTCGTGTTACAGGTTACCAAGGAAATGGTGGAGCTGCAGGAAATGTTTTTGGATATGGCGGTTATGGTGGAGGCGCAGGGAGAGTATCTGAATCAAATCGAGGTTCATGTGGGGGATGCGGTATCTGATGTCGTGGACGGGAACAAAGATCTCGAGAAAGCCGAGAAGATTCAGCGGAACACGCGTCGCACGTACTGGTTGATCGCCTCCATTGTGTTAATCATCGCCGCCATAATTGTCGCGTCCGTCGCGTCGCTGATCGTGTCGGCGACCCCAGAGAGCTCGCGTGGTGTCGCCATCGGCGTGGTGTTGGTTGCGGAGATTGCGCTTGTAGCGGGGGCTGTGCTTATATGCGTCATGACGAAGCCCTTCACTACTCTCTTTTCTTTCAAGTAAGAGACTGTTGCATAACCGCCGGCTTAACCTCAAACCAGCGTAAATAACAAACAATATTTCACTAATGCATCAGATGAAGCTCACATATTTCTGATGCTCCATTGGTGAATTTTAACCTAGGAGGTGTGCTTAGGAGTTTAGATGGGTGGAAACGTCACTATTCATGGTTTCAGTGCATCACAATTAATCATCATAGGAATGCACCTTCAATGTCCCATACAATGTGCTAACAAACAGATATTTGACGATTCCAGATCAACACAGGTTAATCTCAAATAGAGCTACCTAATTGCTGCACACAAATGATGGCAGCGGGCATGAAATACCGAATAATACAAACATAGTTTTATCATCTTCATAATAGCAAGTGTAGTTGTCACCCTATCCATTCACTCAAGCGCGTACGAACTTGAACCCAGTTCCCCAAACCCCGTCCCCATGCACCATTCCTTATCCCTCCGCACTTGGCGGCGACTGTTGCGACTGTCGCCAAAACATTACGTACCCTCGCCACACTGCTCCGCTCACCAAAAGTCTTACTACTTCTCCATACCTTGCTTGGTGAAGCGTTCATTTTGCTAGGCCGAAATCAGGCGTCCATTTAAACGGTCTAATTCTGGAATCAGGCAGTGTTCCTCATTATTAGCAGCTAAACTATCTGACGGCCAGCCGGTTATGGGGTCAAATTTATCCGTCCCCCAGGCGACTGCGGTCGCAACGGCCGCCTCCGTGTCAGCCGCGACGAATCTAGCGAGGAAAGGGGTATCCATTGAGAAAGCTAGCAATAAATCGTTGGATGTGACGTCACAGAGCCCGAAGTCCCCGGGTTGGCCTTCTGATTGGACCTTCGACTCCACCAATCACGCGCCGCCGTCGTCTCCCCGCAAACAACGGCAAATCATTCATGTAAACTATTTCCCTCTTACGAGCTCTGCCGCTTTTTTTTTGTCGACTCTTTCTGAAGAAAAAGGACGGGTGGTTCTTTAGAGACTCCATACGACTTAGTGGCTAGCCTGCAGGTCCCGCCACAGGCCCCTCCGTTTCGCCTGCGTTCGCCAGCTTTCGCCTGCTTTCACAGAACACCCCTCCCCTCAACTCCGCTCCCCTTCACTCCGCCATGACTCCCCTTTCCTCCTTGTCCCCCCTGTTTCCGCCCCTCTGCATTGCATATCTTCGTGCCGCGCTTCGTGCAGGTGGGGTTGGGACCGCTTGTGAGCACGATCCCCCCCCTCCCTCCTCCCTCCCAAATATTCGTGCCGCGCTTCGTGCAGGTGGTGGTGGAGGTGCCCAAGGGCAGCAACTCTTTCTCTCCCTTCTACGTGCTGTGACCTCTTGCTTCCTCGCCTCACCTCCGCATTTACCCCCTTCCTTCCCCGTCCTCCCTCGCAGACATTCGTTCCTCGCTTCGTGCAGGAGGTGGTGGAGGTGCCCAAGGGCAGCTTCGGTAGCTTCAGTAGCTTCGGTAGCTTCGGCAGCTTCGGCAGCTTCGGTAGCTTTGGCAGCTTCGGCAGCTTCGGTAGCGTCGGCAGCTTCGGCAGCTTTGGTAGCTTCGGTAGCTTCTTGCGATGTACATTTTTCTTCACTCCCTCCCAGTCATCCCTTCTCCCTCTTTTTTCTCCCTCCTGTCCCGACTACACAGATATTCGTACCGCACTTCGTGCAGGTGGTGGTGGAGGTGCCCAAGGGCAGCTTCGTCAAGCTCTTCAACTCCATTCCCTCTCTCTGTACCTTCTCCTCCCATCGTTCGCCCACCCCCCTGCATTGCATTGCAGATCTTCGTGCCTCGCTTCGTGCAGGTGGTGGTGGAGGTACCCAAGGGCAGCTTCGTCAAGCGCCACCCGGACGGCGCCATTGACTACGTTGACTGTGTGCCCTGCCCCTTCAACTACGGCTCCGTGCCCTCCATCCTCGCACTCGACGGTACGGCGTGGTACAGTGCGGTACGGTGTGGTACGGTGTAGTACAGGTCTGTCTGTTGCCTGCATGTTGCACCCCACGGCGCCATAGACTACATTGGCTCTCGACAGTGCCCTGCCCCTTCAACTACGGATCTCTTGTGCCCTCCATACTCGGGCTGGACGGTACGACGTGGTAGGTGGTAAGCTCTCGGTGCGGCAAGCGTGTGCCCTGCCCCTTCAACTACGGCTCTCTTGTGCCCTCCATCCTCGCACTCGATGGTACAGCACGGCGTGGTGCGGTACAGTGTGGTACGGTGTGGTGCTGTACGGTACATCCCGGTACGGTGCGGTACGTGTGTTGCACCCCGACGGTGCCATAGACTACATTGGCTCTCGTCAGTGCCCTGCCCCTTCAACTACGGATCTCTTGTGCCCTCCATCCTCGCACTCCATGGTGCGGTGTGGTACAGTGCGGTACGGTGTGGCACGGTGCAGTACCGGTGTAGTGTGGCGCGCCACCGACTACGTTGTCTGTGTGCTTTGCCGCTAGTCTATGGCTCCGTGCCCTCCATCCTCTCCCTGGACAGTGCGGTACGGTATGGTATGGTGCGGTAAGCGTGTTGCCTCCTTGGTTGCTTCCCCACTCACCCCCCTCCCCAACCCCCTGTCTACGTGACCCGCTGGATGCAGTGGTGTTGGGACCCTCCCTGCCGTACGGCCACACGGGCACATGGCCGGTGCACACCACACCACCCCTTCCTTCCCCACCCGGTCTGCTCTCCCCATCTCTTGCCCCTCGGCTTCTCCCCTCCCAACCTACCCCGTTCAGGCGATCCGCTGGATGCAGTGGTGTTGGGGCCGTCCCTGCCATACGGCCACACGGGCACATGGCAGCTGCACGCCACCCTTCCTTACCCTTTCCCCTTCCTCTCCCCATCTCCCCTCCCAACCTACCCCATGCAGGCGACCCATTGGATGCAGTGGTGTTGGGACCCGCCCTGCCGTACGGCCACACGGGCACGTGGCAGGTGCATGCCATGCTGCGGTTCATCGACGGTGGTAAAGTGGATCACAAGCTCATCTGCTCTCAGACCGGCCCGCCTGTACCTCTTCTTCCCGCTCCTCCTCTTGCTTCTCCTCCTCTTCCTCCCAAGGAGAAGGGGAAGGGAGCGGGGAAAGAGGAAGGGGAAAGGGGAGCTGGGAAGTGGACAGTGGAAGGAAAAGACTCCTTTCTTGATTCGTTCGTAACCAGATTGGTTCAGTTACAACCGAAGCAGAAGGTTGCCCGGAACGATGGTACCGGCAGCAGCAGCGGCAGCGGCAGAAGCAGCAGCAGCGGCAGTAGCAGCAGCAGCAGCAGCAGCAATGATAACTGCGGGGGCACATTGCAGCATGTCAAAGAGATCCGCACTGGTTCTCCTGCCATCCGTGCCACTCCTGCCATTCGTGCCACTCCTACTTCTGCTTCTGCTCCTGCTCCTGCTGCTGCCGCTCCTGCTGCTGCTTCCACTGCCACTGCCTTATCTTCCTCCTCTCCTGCCTCTCCTCCTCCGCCTCTTCCCACACCACCGTCCCCTCCTTTCGTACCTTCCGGTTCTCTCCCTCCTTCCAATGTTCCCTCAACCCCTGGGTCTGCACTTCTCACAGGGCCGTTGGCTTCTGAACGAGCAGACGCAGCGCATTTTCCCTCCCTCTCTCGCCCCACGCCTGCTGGTAACCCTTTATCCTCGCTACAAGCATCCTCGCCAGATCTACCGCAAGCCAGTCCACCCATCATCAGCTCACAAGAGAGCGAAACCCCTGCTCTCCAGTCTTCCGCTGCTGACTCGTCCGTCTCCCCCTCTTCCTCCTTCCGCTCCTCCTCCTCCTCCTCCTCCTCCTCCCCAAACCCATCGTTCCTGCCTGAAGCAGTCATAGCAGCAGCTGCAAGTACTGCGAGCAGCCTCTTACCATCCTCTCCCCTTGCCCATCCCCATCCTCAGTCTAAATACCCTCGATCCGAACCCCCTCCATCCTCCATACTTCCCCTGTCCCCAGCTCAACCCCATCACAAGTCCCATTCTGTTGCAGGTCCCATCACACCACCCACCTCCTCCTCCTCTTCCTCTTCCTCTTCCTCTTCCTCTTCTTCTTCCTCTTCCTCTTCCTCCAGCCCACTTTCCTCTACTCTCCCTCTCCCGTCTCCGTCACCTCGAAACCTGCGCGACTCACTCTCCCAATTGCTGCAAGCACCGCACTACACACCTCCAAATCCCGTTTATCCACCCACCACGATTCTCATCCCTGTCTTCTCTCACCCAGGCTCTTCCACCACCGTACCTCACCCCACCGCACTCTTTTCCACCTCTGCTCCTCAAAGAACAAGTCTGGGGGGAGACGAATCGGCAGCTAAACACATAGCACTGTCAGCAGCAGCAGGAAGAGGAGGAAAGGACAGGAGGGAGAATAGGGAAGGGAGTGGTAGTGAAGAGGCGGTTTTGCTACAAGTGGTAAGGGAGCGGGCGAGGCGAAAGGGTCTGGCAAAGCTGTTTCCGGTGGAAGGGGAGGAGGGTTTGTTAAACAAGATCTCCCGTGTAGGTCGGGAGGTGGAGAGGTGTGCAGTTGGGAAATTTGAGGGTCTGATAGGTGCAGCCAAGGGAACGAAAGGTACTGAGGGTGATCAGGGAGAAAGGAGGGAGGAAGACAAGGATAGTGGAGGACAGGAGGAAGAGGAGGCTCTACGGGTGTTGGAACGGCCATTGCAAGTGCAACCGTTGCAGCCGTTGAAAGCACTGCAGGTGTTGAGAGCGGTGCGATCAGGTTCACGTGCCAGCCGTTCTGTTCCATCCGATGCGCAACATTCTGCCTCAGTTCCTGCTGCTGCTGCTGCTGCTGATGATGATATGGTGTCAGTGGAGCTTTCTTTGAGGCAGTACCTCCTGCTGACTGCCTTTTTCAGAACCTATTCGGTGTTCAAGTCGGTTATCAATGCCGTTAGGGGAATCAAAGGACAGACCTACTTTGATGGATGGGAGGTGGCTAGGTGATGGAAGATCTGGTGTTAGTCGTGTAATATCATTGTCTAAGATATAGACTTCCAAGTTGCAGGAACCTATGGTTGGAGGAAATGTGTAAGGAAAATTCCTTTTCCTTACTTCGCGTCCCTGATTACCGCGTACATGCACGTTCCCGCCATCGGCACCCATCCGTGAACGTTACCCGCTCGCGATATTCGCCTCGACCACGACTCCCGCCACTGTTCACGATGCGACCCAACCTCACGGTTCGGTTGGTAACCGGCGCTCCGGACCTCCGCCTCGACAATTCCCAACCTCGGCGCTAGGCCCGTAGCGCACCCCAATTTCCCACATTACCGTTACCACACTTGCTTCGCTATATAACTTCGCTCATGCTTTTCGCTCAACTGTATTGAATGCTTCGATAGTGCAATTCTCACTCGCTCGTTCAATTGCACTCGTAACACTTGGTACCAGAGCCTACGATCTCCTCTCGGACCGCACCCACACCTTCGCTTCCCCACTATCTCAATTTTTTGGGGGGGGGGGGTAGACGTCTCTCAGCGAACAAGCACCGCCGCTCGAAGTGCTCTCTCGTAAGCACGCACGGCCACGACAGAGGCTCCCGCTGAGTTTGCCCGACACCCCCGCCATGGCCGAAATTAATCTTGCGACATTGACGCAGGAGCAGCTCGACCGTCTCGTGCGTCAACTCGAAGATTCGGCACTCGAAATCGCGACACTCACGGCGGAACGTGACTCCGCCCGCCAGCAATCAACGGTGAATGCACCAGCTCCATCACAAGCACCCGCAAATGCACCTGCGCAATCAGAAGAACAGATCGTCATCTCATCAGGCACACCGACGCAAAACGACAGCGTGGGACAGCGCTCAGGCGCAGCCAGTGATGGCGCCGCTCAATCGATGCCTGGCATGGAGAGAAATCGGGCCGCGCCAAGCCCCCGTGGGCCTCGCGAAGCTCGTCGGCACGTGGAGTTTGCAGCAACAAGTGGCAACCATGACATCATGGCACCAATGCCACTCAAGCCGCAGCGCCCGCCCTGTTTCGATCCGAGCCAACGTGGAGGTCCGACGGTTCAGTCGTGGGTCTTCACGATGAACGTTTTCTTCGACGCGAATTACGTCGAGTCGGACGCAGCGAAGATTCGCTACGCTGTTTCGCTGCTGAGGGGCCCCGCCATGGACTGGTGGCGAGTCATCGTGACGTCGCCACGCGCCTACGAGCCACCGTCGCAAGAGGAAGGGCCCACGGGTCCAGCCGTCACCTGGAGTTCATTCTGCGAAACAGCCCAATACAGCACGTGGGATGCGTGGTGCGCAGGGCTTCGGGCGCGCTTCGAGCCGATCGCGGCTTCTATTTCGGCGCGTCAGAAACTGCGTACTTGGCGGCAGCTCGGGTCGGTTCAAGACTACACGAGTGGTTTTCTCGCACTATGCGAACAAGTCGGCTACATGCACGAAGCGGAGCGGGTGGACCGTTACGTTGGAGGGCTGAAGCCGGACATCTCGCACGAAATCATGCTACGCGGACTCTCGAATTTCAACGAGATTCTCGCGCTCGCCGAGAAGATCGATATCTTACGCCGTCCGAGACCGGGGTCCTATTACGGACATCGCCCTCGGGGACCGATCGAGCACGCCACTGTACATGCCGTTGCGACAAATGCAGCTACCGCGCCATTTAAGGGGCGCTGCTTTGCTTGCAATAGGCCGGGCCATCGCAAGAGTGAGTGCCCAGAGGAGCTGAGGCGCCGCGGAGCAGAGCAGGGGAGGGAGTCTCCAAGGCAGGGAAACGCCAGCAGTCAGTAGGAATCGGGCCAACTACTGACGAGACTGCCTGCTCGCCCAACCTCACCGACCCTCACCGAGTCACAGTACCGATTCATGCTATCGATCGAACTCGGACGAATAAGGAGGGTACAGCGACGGATTGCCCAGTACTGATCCACGGGAAAATACAGGGAGCAGCAGTGAAGATTTTTATAGACGGAGGAGCAAGTCACAGTTTAGTTAATACTGCAACCGCACGGAAGCTGCAACTGACACTTAGTCGGTGTTTACCGGAGATAGATGCACGCTTAGTCGACGGCACGCCGCTGGCCATACGGGAAAAGGTGGAGAGAGTGAAAGTCCGCTGCGGGGGGGGACTTTGGGTTTACACAGGAAATGCTCGCGACGACACTAGATGGGCACGACATATTACTGGGACGCGACTGGCTGCGACGGTATAACCCGCGAATCGACTGGACGACGGGTAGCTGCACTGTGCGAAGTAGCGGTAACTGGGTCGTGCTACCTCGCTGGCAGTCGCCCGAGTCTTCAACGGTCCACGTCAACGCCATCACAATGAAACGGGCTGTCGCCGCTGGAGCTGACGTGTACGCAGTGGATATAGCACTGGTAGGAGAAGCAGAGCAGCCGAGCGATTTTCAGAAACTGTTGGCAGCAGTACCGCCCGAACTACAGGAACTATTGAAACGGTACCCGGGGATTTTTCCGGACGATTTACCGGAGGGACTGCCACCTCAGCGAGCACACGACCACCGCATAGAGTTAGAACCCGGGGCACAGCCAACCGTACAGCGACAGTTCAGACTGACACAGCCCGAGCTCGATGAGCTGAGGAAGCAATTAGATTACCTGTTAGAGAAAAAAATCATCCGACCGAGCTCGTCACCGTACACACTGACCTGTAGCCGGGGTCGGACCTGTACACACTGACCACTGAGTCCCCTCAGGTAGCTGCGTCTGCGTCTACGTCAGGTCAGCTGTCGGCCCCCTGCTCGTGTCGCTCCCTGGCGCACGAGACCGTCCTCTGGCACCACCGCCTTGGTCACCCGTCAGTGCAGCGCCTTCGTGGCATGCACTCCCGGTACCTTGTCTCTGGTCTTCCCAGGGTTCTCCCTCCCCTCCCACCCTCGCCTGCTCCTCCTTCTCTTCCCTGTGTCGAGGGGCGGCAGCGCGCCGCTCCTCACTCCTCCTCGTTTCCCCCGACGTCTGCTCCCCTGCAGACCCTCCACATGGACGTGTGGGGCCCAGCCCGCGTCCGTGGACAGGGTCACGAGAGGTACTTCTTGATAGTTGTTGACGACCACTCGCGCTACACCACGGTCTTCCCCTTGCGCACCAAGGGTGAAGTCCCTGATGTTTTGATCCCTTGGATCCGCGCTGCCCGTCTCCAGCTCAGCGAGAGGTTCCACTCGGACTTTCCTGTCCTGCGTCTGCACTCTGACAGAGGTGGGGAGTTTTCCTCCGACCTCTTGAGGGCCTTCTGTCAGGGGGAGGGCATTGAGCAGTCTTTCATGCTTCCGGCCTCTCCACAGCAGAATGGGGTTGCTGAGCGCCGCATTGGCTTGGTCATGGAGGTCGCTCGTACCTCCTTGATCCATGCGGCTGCCCCCCACTTTCTGTGGCCGTTTGCGGTCCGATACGCTGCGCATCAGCTCAACCTCTGGCCCCGTGTCTCCGTTCCGGAGACTTCGCAGACACTGCGTTGGACGGGAAATGTTGGCGATGCGTCGGTGTTCCGGGTCTGGGGATCTCGTGCTTTTGTCCGCGATACGTCCGCGGACAAGCTCTCCTCCCGCGCTGTTCCTTGTGTCTTCCTTGGCTTTGTCCCGGACGCGTCTGGTTGGCAGTTTTACCACGCCACCTCGCGTCGTGTCCTGCCCTCTCAGGACGTCACTTTCGACGAGTCCGTCCACTACTACCGCCTCTTCCCCTACCGCACTGCCCCGCTCCCCCCCCCGCCTCTCTTCCTCGCACCAGGTGCTGCTGTGGTAGACCCCCTCCCCCCTCAGGGTGCCGCTCCCTCAGGTGTGTCCCAGGTAGACCCGGTTGAGCCTGTCGAGGTAGCTGTCGACTCTCGTCCTGCTAGGGGTGCTGAGCCTGGGGGTGCGGAGCCTGGGGGTGCTGAGCCTGGGGGTGCGGAGCCTGGGGGTGCTGAGCCTGAGCGTGCGGAGCCTGGGGGTGCTGGATCTGGGGGTGCTGAGCCTGCGGGTGCTGAGTCTGGGGGTGCTGAGCCTGAGAGTGCTACGTCTGAGGGTACTGAGCCTGGGGGTGCTGCGACTGGCCGTGCTGCGCCTGGAGGCGCTCCCTCTTCCCAGCAGCTGCGTGAGTGGTGCTCGCGGTACTGCAGCCTCAGGAGGGGCGCTTCTGGGGCTAGGGGTGCTGCTGGAGCTGGTGCTCGTGGTTCCCTGCCTAGGCGGGAGCCGCCCTCTCCCCAGCGGCTTCGAGAGTGGTACGCTCGGCGCTGCAGTCTCCGGAGTGGTGCTGCTGGTGCCGCCGACCCTGGAGTTGGAGCTGCTGCTGGTGCTGAGGACCCTGGAGCTGGAGCCGCTGCTGGTGCCGCGGACCCTGGCGCTGGAGCTGCGGCTGGTGCCGCGGACCCTGGAGCTGGAGCTGGTGCTGGTGCTGGTGCTGCTGGCGCAGGAGCTGCTGGTGGTGCTACTGGAGGTTCTGCTGGAGCTGGAGCTGCTGGAGACGCTACTGGTGCTGGAGCTGCTGGAGGCGGTGCTGGTGCTGGAGCTGCTGGAGCCGCTGGTTCTGGAGGTGCTCGTACTAGAGGTACTGGAGCTGCTGCGGGGGTTGGAGCTGGAGGTACTGGAGCTGCTGGGGTTGCTGGTGGTGCTGCGGGAGTTGGTGCTGGAGACCCTGGGGCTGAGGGTGCTGGTGCTGTCTCTGCTGGTTCATGAGGTGCTGAGCGGCCGCGGCCGTACTACGTTCCGCTCCTTCAGCAGGTTCTTGGCCTCCCGCCCTCCACTGGTCCTTCTCCTCCCCTACTGAGTCCACCACATGTCCAGTCGCAGTCATAGTTACCGCTTGCCTCTCCACTGCCTGGTCCTTCTCCCTACGCTGGGCCGACTAGAGGTCTTACGGAGCGTCGTGAGCCTGAGTCTCGTCCTGCGTCGCCTGAGTCTCGTCCTGAGTCACCTGAGTCTCGTCCAGAGTCGCCTGTCCGCGCTGTCCGCGCTGGTCGTCGTGCTCCGCGTCAGCGTCCTCCTCCTGT